TATCTGAACCATTACGTACAGCATGGTGACTCGTTTTACGAGCTCTCACATTAGCAGGCACAAAATGTTTCATGCCTCTAGCGTTGAATGACTGTTTCATGGCATCGTTCATGCTTCTAGTAATCATTCGTTAGCGTAAGATCTTTATCCCCATTTACTTCCTCTTTGAGACCCATCCTACACCATTTCAATGCAATTTGACTAATGTATTCGGTTTAAAATTCAAATACCCTGTTCCCCAATAATTTCAATCCCCGTTCTCGGGCTAACAACGCTTGTAATTGTTAATATACTTTTCTTCGATTGGGTTTATGGTAATCGAACACACACATAACGAGCCATCATAATAACAGATCCTTCGAGATTCTTTCGAGGATGGTTTAATTTATCGAATGTCTCCAAGTCTTTCGTAATTGGACTTCGAGGATTTTTACTTCCTTCTTAGATATGAAATTTTATTTCGCTTAATAGGTTCGATGTTAAACTTAAGCAGGATTGATGTTTTTTTATATCATTGGCTGATTTCAGTTATCGCGAGCGTGATGATTTAGGTTAGGTCGGCAGAGAGGGTTAGAAATGGCTGTCAGAAAAGTTAGGTCGATTAATTAACAACTTTTCACAAATGTGTGCTTTATTATGGGCAAATATCAGAGGAAATTTGGAAAGAAATCATTTATATCAGCAGTTCTCATTCTTTTTTTCTTTACATATTATGTCATTAATATGTGATTAAGTCACGTACATAGACAGTAGCATATCTTCATCATAGTACTATATCTTATTGTACGTGATTTCAAAATTTAGTATAGTTTGGTGTATTTAACATATCATCAGTGAGAAGCACGTTATGCTACTCACCTATTAAATTTCTCCACTTCTCTGATTCTTTTTCAATTTTTTTCCCGATAACTTTATTATTTTTGGTGTTTTATTTTAAATATGCTTAAAATAAATTACCTTATTGTTATTAAAATATATTATTAATAATACATACTGTTATTATAATAATATATAATTGAGGCAGCTCATAGAGCAACTTAACCCCATATGATGTTAAACGTGACTCAAAATTTTTAGATGAATATTACTGGGATTTTTGGTTTCGCTTATTATAAAACAACAATGTGTATTTTATTCTTAACTTGCTACACTAAAGATATTAAATAAACATTTTAGACGAATATCTAGCAAATGATATTATTTTATAACACAAGTAGAATAATATAAATTAGATCCATTTACTTGTCTTTGTAAAGTAAATTTCCTTTTATTTTATCAAATCTACCATATCATATCGTTTCATAGTATCGGTATATAAATTTGATCTGTAACTCGGAACCTAATTGGCGTTATACGATATGCCTAGTCGACACAGTCACGTGGGATTCAGCAAGCAATTTGCGTTAATCTGACTCCTATGGGTCTACTTTATGTCGTTCCGCTGTATTGAATAATAGCACGTGTTAGATCATCGTCTCAGTGAGGACTATTATATCGTAAAAATTGGACGATGGTAATGTTTATTAGTGACAATAATAGAAAAATGTGCAAATAACAATAAAATGCGAATTATTCGGTGACACGAGTTTATACTCACACACCCGGCTTACTACAGTAGTTCTACACTATTTCTTATAACGACCAGCTCAAAATTAAGCTCAAACTTAACTCAGAAACTGTCTCAGATTGTCCTCCAATTATGCCAACATTTATGCAAGTAATTTTGATAGAAAACACAGGTTTTTAATTAAAAATTGTAAATATTGTTCGACAATGAAGACGCGTTGTTCTTTCGTGTGGCGCTCTATTTTTAATACCACTGAATTGTCAGCTGTTATTCTGTCTTTTTCTTTTCATTGGCAACACTTTACCACACAAATGGCGTAAAATTCAAATTTTGCGCGAATTTTGGGATACTATATTTCTTGTACACGATTTCTAATGCGGTCGTGTTACGGCCCTGACACATAATCGCACAGGGTTTTCCCCGATGAACTTAAGGACTTTGCACCTTTGTAAAGCTATGTGTACTTGGTGGAAGAAGTACGATACTACTATATTATAAATAAAAATGATAGGGTCTCATATACAAAAATTGACTTTGATGTCCCACCATTACCGAAAAATGATTTAATTGCAATTAAATATTAATTAAAAGCACAAAATGATACAATACTTTGAATGTTCCTGCATAAAACCTGTGCTTCAAGACGGTGAAACAAATAGGAACCTGTTATATACTTCTAGGAATTATTTTAAAATGTTACAAATTTTTTTTTTTTCATTTTTTAAAGAATATTTATTGAAATAGATATTTAAGAAAATATAATGCAGTATTTATGGGATTTATTTATTCTCTTACCATAAATTTGTAAATTTCATTTTATGTGAATTAAATTATAAATTCTGAATTGTGAGTGGAAGCTAGACAAAATGTTTTGATCTTCAGATATAATGCACTATAATAATATTCTTTTATTTTATTGTATGAAATAAATATTATCTTTTTCCACAAATTTATTTTTATATTTATTAAATTCTGCCCTGTAAATGATAGGTAAATTAAATGTTTTGGATTTGTAAATACAACACACAGTAATTTAATTTGTAAGAAATTTTTAAATTTATTTTAATGTTTACTTAATTAAAAGTGCAAAATTCCAAATGAAAAACAGTTTAAATGTTTTGAATTTGCAAATATAACACATTATTTTTATTGATTTTATTGTTATTTGTTTCAATCAATAAATTGAAAGGCAATTTAAATGTTTAAAGTTTGCAAAGTTAAAATATTTGTGAAATATTTTAATGTTGTACTACTTGGAAAATATTAATTCATTTGTTACATCTTTTCTTTTAAAGATGTATTAAGGTTATTAAATAATTTTGTGCAATTATTTTAAAAATGAAATTTTTTAAACTTTGTTTTATAAAGAATTCCCAAAGCGCTTAATAATTTTCTAACATAAAAATTTAAATTGTCTTTATTATTATTTTCTTTTTGAATGAACTTTTTTGAAATTCAACATTTTAATAAAACAAAGGTATTTCAATTGGAAGCTTCATAACTTCTTTGTATAAAATAATATTTGCAGGTAAAATGAAGTCTGAAAACGTAGGTTAGGTTAGTTTAGGTTAGGTTTTTATCATAAATTTATCGTAAAATAATATATTTATATTCATTTGCACAGATGAATTATTTTCTAAAGAGAAATCTGCAAATACCGTATTTTTATATAAAATAATATATATCATTATATCTATCAATTTTGTAATATTCTAAATTAATTATTCCATTGGGAATATAAAAAAAAAATTAAATTTCAAAATATACAAATGTATACTACAATTGATGTTGCACTAAAACAAACAAAACTCATATAGAGAGAATATGGTGTGGAAAAATGCACTTTGATTGATTTTTTATCTCTTTTTCTATGTCATTTGGCATCTATAGGAATATATGGCAATATGAAAGCCATAGAAGGAAAACAGAATAAATCAAATTTTTCATTTTTGCAGAGCAGTTTGAAAATCCAATACCCTGCCAGTCTGGCTCACTCAAAACACAAAAAATTCTCTTTTTATTTGCTTGTGGAATCAAATATACGCTTGTCATCTTGTCAAGCTTTTCAGAAAATATTGATGCCTTAAGATTGAACATGCCACTAGTTTTTTTTTTTTTTTTTTTTCTTTTTTTTGCAAAACTACATGAATTTGTCACTCAGTTTCAAAGGGTTTATATTTTTAAACTTAACAGGTTACAAAATTCTCTTTTTGACTATGTCACATCAAAACACTTCTTTTTGGTCACTGACTAATCCCAAAATTGAAAACCAACAAAAGTGAACACGTATGTGAAATGCTTTTTCATTTAGATAGTCTCTCGATAATAATTTTTCTTTATTTCCTTTCATCATTATATAATTTGCATTATAATAAAAAATGTAAATAGTTACAAAATATAAGCCTCTCAAAAATAGTAATAAAATTAACAATATTTTTGGTATGTCCACATATATTTAATCCCAGAACTAAATAAAAAATTAATCTCTATACATGATTTGATATTGAACTTATGTAGAAAAAAAATATGGGACCCTTTTTATTCTTTGATATTTTTTCCATAAATTTATGCTATACTAATTGAAACTTTCAACTGATAACATAAATCCTATGTGAAAAACAATACTTCTTATATATAATAATTCCTTATATTATGAAAACCAATATACATAACAGAAATACAAAGAATGAATAATTAGTCATTCCATAGACAATTTTCAAAGGCAAATTGTTAGCGTATTTTACTAAAACTCAACTTCTTTATTCCACTAATAAATAATTTTAGCTTGCTATATTAAAATTCATTAAAACTTTCTTATTTCATGTATGCATAATTTTATTTTCTTCTGCAGTACAATTCCCTATATATATTGAATTAGTATCAATTATAAAAGAAGAAAGGAACATTAAACCATTACAAACAGAATTATCTAAATAAAATATATTCTCTTTATCAGATAAATCTTTAACTACCAAAGTAACTATAAAAATTCCCATACAAAATATTGCAACAGAAATATAAAGTCCCATCTAAGTCTCCCAACCAACAACCATAATCAAAACGTCTGCAAATAATATATCAGGCTACAAAATTGAAACATTCGTCTTATCAATCCCTTAGTTCAGTTCACAAAACAAAATGAAATCTCAAGCGGCCATAGCCACCATCTTAAACAAACGTTTACGTGCACCCTCAGAGCGAGTCACTCTGATTTGCAGTTTCTGCCGTATTGATTCCTCCAGGTTGTCGAGCGCTGTAGCGGTAGAGAGTGCTCGCGTTAAGGGTCTGAGCAGACAACCATGGATCCATACGTGTACCACGTTACTCGATCTCTGTCTCGTGTCTCTCCGTCTCTCTCCATAATAAACATAGGCGTGTCCACACCGCAGACTATACCTTTTCCCCCTCTCACCGCGTCCATTTTCATTTTCAGAGGGTCCATTCCAAAGCGACGCGCTGCTCGTTCCGGAAGGTTGCCTGTTCGACCACCTCCACAATCAGACGAAATGCTGGGAATCACTCAGGTAAGCCAACGAGCTCGTATCGAAGACGAGCGAACGCCAGCGTATCGATTTACGCGGCTACCAGCGCGTAACCTTATCCTAGGGACTTCCACTGGGATCCCCAGTTCGATAATTCGCGGTGCCACCGAATGGTTTTGGCAAATTCTACGAATATCCATCCTCATACCCTACGTCGATATTACCCGCGTATGTGGCCACGAATCTGCCTGCTTATTTGACCGCCGGTTACCCCCACCACTTCCTGTCAATTCTAGCAGGGCTCGACGTTATCTACGCCATAGATGATGCGTTAACCAGAATCACTACAATGGAAAAATGAAATTTTGTATATCTTTTATTTTATTATTATGAAAGTATCTTAATCTAATTATTGATATTTTCACGATTAAAATTATGCCAAATTTGACTATATTTGAGTTCGTTTTTAATTAAGAAGAATAGAAGAGTAATACAAAAGTATAGAAATAAGTATAGCAATATTATTTATATTATTGAATATATTTAACGCGTATGCGGTTACATGTTTTTTGGCACTGATATTACAAATAATAATTTTGGAAGAAAGAAATGTATGTTCATGAATTTTTTATTGTCGATACCAAAGATGTTATAAAGAATTGTATGTTTTATAAAAAGACTACTGTGAAAAAAATTGCTGTTAAAAAATATTTGTTTAAAAATAGGAATTTTGTAGGATAATAGGATTTAATGTTATTTTAATAATATTTTGTTGTATCTCATTACTTTGTCTAATTCTTACTCTTGTTTTGATGTGCATGCAGTTACTCGAGTTAGCATGAGATAATATCGACGGATTTGTGAAAATACGACGATGTTTCCATAAGTGGTAATATTTCGGGATCGCGTAGCGTCACTTGTAGAAAAAGTGTGCGATTCTCGAACGAAAGCGATCAAGTTTCACGAGTTCGCTCGACCTTGACGACTCGAACGCTCGGTTTTATGTTTTTTCAACGTCGTCGGTTCGATGGTCACGGAAGATTCAGTTCGGTGAAGTGTTGACTCACTTTGTAAAATGTTATGCAGACACTCATCTATACATCGTGTATTTCTATTATTACCATCTTAACTACATTGTGTTTTTAGGTTTATTTGCATCAGAAAAATATCACGAATTTATTAAACATATATTTACAAAATAAAAAGATATAAAATGAATTTTTTAGCATAGTATTCTGTTCAAATATTTGAAAAAAAATCCGATTCTCCTAGCCGAGTAAATATGTTTACGTGTAGCGATATATTTTTCTACCTCATCATTAGCCGCACTATATATATAGAGTAAATATAGACGGCTGTCAAATGTACATACGCAGCTACAAATTATCAATTATAGAAACATTGTAGTCAAATCTTAGGATCTTCTCATGTTTGTATTTTACATTCTATAAGTAAATCTAATTTAACTAAAATAAATTCTATAAATAAATTTTATAGAACACAAATGAATATATTGCCCACTTATGGACATATATTATTGTAACAAAATCGTATAATTTTTTCATATTTGTATATGAAATGTATATCTCTATAAGACCTCTTATCAAAAGTGAGGTTATGTTCATGTACAGTTGTGTGTCCTTTTTCTAATAGCTATCTTCGTTCATAAAATAACTTTCCCATATAAAAAAATTCAAAAAATATAAACAAAAATACCGAAAAAATATAACTGAGCACCACAAATATTACTTTCTATAAATTTTATTTTATTTTAGGGATATTTGCAAACTGTCGTGACTATACGCATCTCCGGATATATAACCATTATATACAGCTGATTGTGAAAATGGTCTAAGTCAAAAATTAAAAAGAAACGACGTTATCGCTTATTTTGGATCGCATTAAAGCTACTCCATTCCAAAATAGAAAATCGAATTTGTAACTCGACTATAATTAATCGCATTAATTTGCGACATATTTAAAACACGAAACGTTTAACAATTCGAAACGGTGTACATAACTTAGACCACTTTCATCAGCACACTCGTGTTCTTAATCTAAAATTTAACCCACCGCTCAGCCTAAAAATGAAATTTTCACCCGAAAGGATAAATTTTCTGTTACGATTCCTCTCTGACGGGAATCTTTTCAGCCTGTACGAGCTGAACGAGCTAAAATAAGAAGCATTACACACTGCACACCTCTGTTACAGATGGAACGCGACCGCCGCAGACACCTGCAGGGAGAGGAACATGAACCTGAGGAGCTTCGCAATGCTGTTACCCTGCGGAATCTCTGTGTTCTCAGGCGTCGAATTCGTGTGCTGCCCGAAACACCTGAAAGGTACGTAACGTACGTACATTCTCTCATATCCATCATACGTTCATTCATCGACGAGCCTTGGTTCTCTGTATTGGCCAGGGGGAACTACCTCTTAGTCGACTTTAGCGTTTTGCACGGTTAGACCCCTAATGACCCTAATGTTGCATGATGAACGTTCACGGTGGAAGGTGAGAAAGAACCACGATCGATGGTTGCGTTTTTAAGTAACACTGGCCAGAAGCTTTTTACTAGCTCTTCGAGCATAATGGCGGCCGGGAAATGGGAACGTAGGCGCGAGGCCTCGGGAGTCGAGTTTCCAGGTCGACGTTTGGTCGCTGAGAAAAAGGAACGTGTTATTGTAATTCGATCGACGCGGAAAAGTCAGGAAAAATATTACGTAGCTCGATATCCGGTTGGATAAACAGTGTCGGCGTTACCGCGAAATGCGTTCTTTGTCGTTTGCTTGCCGCTCTCTGCGGGCTTTAATCGAGCCTTTCTTCGTCCGCGTCGAGTATACTTTTCTGGAATTCATCGAGTCACATAATGCCATTGAATCGTTTCAATGGTTCTCCCCTATTGTCCCGTTAATCATCGACGTATGTATGCTTGTTAACGAAGCTACAAAGGAGGCTTAACGCTTGGAAAATGCCTCTGTGACGTCCAGGCTGTTTGAATTTCGCGCCACAACCGTCTCTACCGAAAACCTATCTGGTGACGCGTTCTGCCACACACGCGTTGTTCGTGGTTCTTCTGAGAGAGGTCTTTGTTCGATTGTGTATTAAGTTGACTAATTGTAGAGAAATTTTCGTTAGTCGATGAACTTTGCTATCTGCAAGTTTTATTGCTTGAGTCATAGAACATAGACAACCTAGAGTCACGTCGTGATTTAGAATTTGGTTGTGGCTTTTGATTTGGGTAAATTGGTAAGCTAAGAGTAAAGGTTCACCGATTATTTATCAAAAATTTATAACAAAAATATGAAACAAAATATGAGTAATTGATTTATGTTTGCTTTTCAAAGTATTGTCTGTATTTCAAAGTTTGATATTGATTACTGTGAAATTTATCGTAGATTGAATTTGGGAAACATTTTGTATATTTTTCACGCAAAATGTTGACTTTTAATTCATTTCATTTAATTCATTTCGAATACATCTTCTGTGACAGGAATAATATATAATAATAAATTATTTAATATGAATAATATTTATGGGCTTTTCCTTGCATAAATATTATTATTTGCAAAATAAATTGATAAAATTTGTATGGTAAATTATATTCTATACGTATACAGAATATATCATGGCTAAATGTGATTTCATGTGCAAAAAGAAATGAAGAATGTAAATTTTTTTTTATAAATATTTTTAGAGTCTAATTCTCAAGAGAATCAATATTAAAAATTCAAAAGTGAAGTAAAATCGATTTCATTCGCAAGTACATAAGCTGTTTCTATCTGCACTTGTATTTATAAACATAGTATTGATCAGGCTTGACATTCTATTGTTCTTGTTCCCTGTTTCGTTGTTGTTCATACAAAGCAATAGAATACATATGTATACGTATGTATATTGACAGGCTTTATATAAAAAGATCTAGAGCACTCTAATTTTCTTCGTTAAGTTTTATTTATCGAGTTATAAATGTGACACTCGTGTATCGTTTGCTCTTTTCTTCGTCATTTTTCTCAGGAATAATTTCAAACGCTATGAACACTTTTCTCGGACAACTATAGTTACCAATAAAACACGAAAACTTTTTCTTGATGAGCCACAATAGTAGCTAAAATGTTAAGAGACAAACAGACTTTGGGAAAAGAGAACAGAAACTATTTTGGACACCATATAAACACCATATATCAAGTGAACATGATCATCTATAGAGTACAAGAATTTCTTTGTAGTGGGTTACTATAGTTATCCAATAGTATTTAAAATGTTGAGAGACAAAATGAACCTAGAACTAAGCAAACTTCGCCAGGAAGAAACAAAAATGGTCGTAGACACCATGAAAATCATGGCAACCAATAATGCATATATAAAAATCACCTCATAGTAGGCAACTATACTTACTTTATGATTACCAAAGAGTTAAAAGACAAAACGAAACTTAAAGCAAAGAATCTTTACCACAAAAGATGAACAAAGACCATAAACATCATGGTTATCAGTTGATGAACAAATACCATGGTTACTAATAGATGAACAAAAATTATAAATACTATAGTTACCAATAGAATATTATGGTTATTAATAGATGAACAAAAACCATCAATATCATGGTTACCTATAAATGAACAGAAGGCATAAACACCATGGTTACAAGTGGTAACGAGCAACTATACTCACTGAATAGTAATCAAAGACTAAAAAAAGCAAAACGAACCTTGATTACCATGCTAGCCAGTAGTATATACTTCAAAAAGTCATCTCACAGTGAGTAACTATATTCACTCAATAGTAGCCACAGACTGAGAAACCAGGAAGAACCTTGACCACCATGGTAGCCATTAGTATAAACTTCAAAAAATCACCTCATAATGATCAACTATATTCACTCAATAATAGCCAAAGACTGAGAAACCAGGAGGAACCTTGACCACTATGATAGCCATTAGTATAAACTTTAAAAAATCACCTCATAGTGAGCAACTATATTCACTCAATAGTAGCGAGAGATTGGAAAAAACGAAGCTGGAACACCATGGTAAGCTGTAAGTATAACGTAGAAAAATAGTCACCCAATAACCGGTTGTAACCAGTGAACGGTATCTAAAAGGCTGAAAGTCAACGCGAACCTCGAATCGAGCAATGTTCGCTCAGGGGATGAATATTCGAATTTACTCGACATCCATTACTGGAATTCCCCATCCCGTCTGTGCCTCGTGCTCTATTTCCGATTGAGCGTCGTTCGAACGGCTGGAATACGAGAAAGGGAGGAAGGAAGACAGAGCGGAGTCGAGGGGTGCATTAAGAAAGTAGGTATATTTCGATTCTGTCCTCCTCGTCCCACGACAGAGTAGTTTACCCTTGCCGCTTCTATCTTGCTCGCTCGTGCAATCAATAACGTCCGTCGACGTTCCCGACGACTGCGCAACGTAACACTATGCTTTTGCCCGTTCCTGCGCATCTTTTCCTTTCAATGCACGGTGCCAATACCTCGTACCCTACGACGCAGCTAATAAACCCCAGAGCCGAGTACGCTTGTCCATCGACGGCCTCCCTGTCTGCCAGACCGATTCGCGACACATCCCTGGCTTGCCAACCGGCTTACTGATCAATAGGAATGACCGATGAATCACCAACCAAATTCCCGACCTCCACCACAGCAACGACCAACCAACGCTCGCCACTGCTTTCGTAGGGTTTATTATGCACGCTGTTGACGAGTTTGCGGTCAGGGCTGATTCACCAAGGGGATGAACAAGGTCGAAAAATCGCGGAAGTCGTGGAGTAATGGATTTTTCATGGGGCTAACAGGATTATTGATTTACAACGAATGGAGAAATGTACTATAGGTGAACGATGGTAATTAGGCTGATGTGATGGAGATAGATAGCTTATGTTCCTGTCTGAATTAGAGTCCAAACCAACTGCATATTTCTAGTAACTGAAGAAAACATCTGGAAGAATTTAATTTGAGCTACTTGGTGGTACTAGTATCAGACTCACAATTCCCACTTGGAAAAATTCTTGGAATTTATGATTAATATTAGTTTATATTTATTGACAAAAGTGTCATTGACTTTGGAGTAGGAAGCTTATTACTTCTTTGAAGTGAAAGGTCTTCAAGTGTTTCCACAAGAGTTAATACTTAACTTATCATGATTATGGCTGATTATTATCTGACTGTTTGTGGTAAATGAAATAGGTTATGTAACGGAAGAAATGGAATAGGGAACAAGATAGATATTGGTAAATGGAGTATATGTATATTGTAAGAAAAATCTTTAAACAAAAGTTTGAAAATGGTCTTTTAGGTTAGGGTGGGTTTGCTGCTCTTTTGAGGCTGATGATATTCATTGGGAGAGATATCTGATTAACACATTAAACACAGTTTATACAAATGAGAATAATTCAAATGGTGTAATTATGATAATTATATAAAATAATAACCAATATTACTTTTGTAAGAAGCATCTGCATGTTTTCAAAATTTTTTACTGAATTGGTAACTCTAGGTTCTAGTAGTGATCTTGAAATCAATCCTACAGATGTAAAACATGAATGTTTACTTCCATGTGTCTTTAATCTCTCTTCTACTTTCATCCTAGAAGTACTGGTATCTAAATAAAATCCATTGATAAATTGATCCCTTTGATCTGTTTATTTTTATTCAAATTTATTACTTCTCTTACTTTTAAGAAATGAAATATCTATTAAAATAAAATAATAACCATTGAAAATTGAAACATTATTCTATTTTAAGAAACAATCTTTCACTGTGAACAAAATTGCTGATGTAAATAAACGTTTGGCAGCCATGATTCTTGTATGTTATCCTAGATGAAACATAAAGATATATCTATTATATTTATACATATGGACAAGAAGTAATTTCATATGCAAAGGAATAGATCAGAGGTGTAGAGTAGAATTTGTTTATTCAAAGGTAAATTTTTAACAAAATTAATTTTCAGTCTTCTGCCAAAGTTGTCGAGTAGAGAGTGCCGAAAAGTTTAAAAATGCTACTTTACCCTCTCGTATCTATAAACGAGATACGTCGTTTGTGCGCCCCCTTGGATGAGATATCTCACGTGTCCTTTCATCAGGACGCGAAATATCTCAATCCAAGGTTGGGGTGAAGATCAGTTTGGAAGATCTTATACACGGATGCAAAGAAGTTAATCATACTAACCGTAGGGTAAGTTACACAAAATTTTTAAAAATAAATTTTTATCGCCCTTTTCTGTATGATATCGCGTTCAGTTCCATAGATAAATTTCTGTCATCCTTTTTTATATTAAATAACATTCACTTGCGAATATGAAACATGTAAAAATTGGAAATATACCATTCAGAGGCCACCTGCAAATATAAAATAATTATTAAGATATGTAAGAAACGAATTAAATTTTAAACAAATTTTCTTTTGAAAAAATTAAACTTAGATACGTAGGATATTTTATAAATTTTAAGTTTCAAAGTAAAGGACATCTTGGATACATATATGTACATATATACAAGTATTAAACACATTAAGAAAATATTTTTATGCAAAATAAAGCTCAATCTCAAATATGGAATATCTAAAATATAAAATACCTAAAATTTAAAACAAAGATTAATTCGCCAGAAACAAAAGTACAAAAACAAACTTTAAATATTTTTCTTTTCCATAAAACAAGCTTCATCCAAAGTCTATAAACTCCTTTGCACCTAATATCAAATTTGAATCTCAAAGATCTTCAATATTTAGTACCTCAAAAGTTGGTACTCCTGTTAAACTTCATGTTAACAAAAAGCGGTCATCGAACAGGATATGTATATATATCACACGATTCCAAAGAATTCTTTGCAGCCATGTTTCCATCTTATATCTTTCTTTATAACCTTCCTTTTCCTTATTTCCCCCTTAGTTCGAGTACTCTTCTAGCATTGCACAACTTTTGTACATTTAAACTCTCCCAGGATACCCACTATCAGCGTTGTGGTTTACGAATTACTTGTTTGCACATTTTGTTTATGCCGCTATTTTTAAACTAGCAGCGCGTCGAGCCGTGCACAGTTTTTAGCGCGGCAATTTTTCACGAACGAGTTAGCAAAGCGTTCCCCCACTGTGTCTGTGAAAACACGCGGGAAGATCTGCGCATTGCGCGTGGGAGAAGGGAGAAGCTGATCGGTTGTCGGTTTGATATCGTCGATCAAATCTTGACAGTTCTTTCGTTCTTCCTTCCTACACGGACTTCGGGTAGGGAGCGACGACAGCGACAACGGCTTCAATACGTGCAATAGGCGAACAACGACATTCTCTGGTAGGGAGCGAAAAAGTGCCAACACAACCGCCACGTGACCCAGATAAAAGGATAGCGGCGAGGATACACCGAGCGAAGCTTTTGTCTGCCTTTGCAGAACTCGAGAAGTCATCTCATCAGCGTGTCTATTCTCGGAGAATGGGGCATCTCGAGAACCTAGTTAGTCAAGACGGCTGTCCTCTTCAACATAACAGAGACAAATTAGAGTTTTTCACGGTGGAAAAGGGTAGCTGAGTCGCGGGATACACGCGGACGATATGAGGGGCGGATTTCGAAATGCCCGCCCCCAGGACAGCGTTGCCGCGATTTGCATTTGTTCACTGCGCAGTATTATTGGGTGCTTTCGTGTTAGGTATGCAGATTAATTCCGTACCTTTTTATTCTTCCCTTGCTTTTTTCTGTCATCGAAATTTACATTTTTTTATACATGCATCGCGTGATACGGACTTAAACATTTGAAAATGGGCGAAGGGACATGACAGTTTGAAGATTACTGGTGATATCTGGGTTGGGTTGTTCGTTTTTTGAATGAATGGAATGATTTACTGTGAAATGTTAATAATGATTTATGAAATAAAATATGTTACAAGATGAGATATACTTTTTATTTACGTTATATTGATTGCTAGGATTTTTTAGACACTTGTTAAAAGTTGATGCCTATTATTATGCATAGCCATGTATATTATCAAAACACTTCTTTAGTATGTCTTTTTTAATTATGAACAAGGTCACTTTCGTGTAATCCTTCTTTTGCATATGATATTGAATCGAACTCAAGGATGTCAGAAAAAATTGCTTTTTCTTAATGTCTTCATTAAAAAATAATTTTAACAATTTATTTGTTATCTATTTCGTTGTAATTCCTTGACAATTAGAATGTGAAAAAGATTACAATTGGATTAGAATTTAATTTTTTTGATTTTCAAAGCTCGAGTTTAAGGTTTGAAGTGTTGATTTTATTTCATAAAAGAAATATCTTATTTGAAAAACTGATTAAATATTCACTGAAAGTAATTAAACAAAAGCAACAATATAAAAAATATCTACCTTAAATTCTACAAAGGATCCTTTGTTCATAGATTTTAAATTCTTTCTTAAGTTTAACAAATTTAAAGAACTATTAGTAAAGTGTAAGATTCTCGAAATTCAAAAATTTCTTGCACTTCAAGAAGTTTTGAGAAACTTATACCTGTACAAAATTATAGTATTCATTTTAGAAAACATTTTATGCATGTAATAATATACTTAAGAAATTTTTCGAATATAACATAATTTAGCAATGTTGTATATGAACAAATATAAAATAAAAACAGTATGTATTTGTTGTATTGCTTCCCCCATTTTATTTCTAATATTTACAATACTTTTACATGCAATATTACTAAAAAATCTTATCATTATATCATTGTGGTATAATAACATTTCTATTTAACACGAATGCAAAGGAAATACGGTGTGTAATATGCGTTTTGGTAGCCATGTTGAACGCAACTAATTTTTGAGGTTATGTTTGTCATTGGACTAACAATATAAATAGTATGTCGTATGAAATACGTGAATATTTGCATGATACCTCTTTGAAACTTCTATTAGATAGGAAAATACTTGTATATATTTGAAATATTTAAAAATAAATCCAAAAAAGTACTGAGCAACTTGCATACCTGACATTTTATAGCAATATAATTGGAGATGTAAGTATATGTAGAATTCTTTTTATTTATACTTCCACTTACGTATATATTGATGTTTTATTTTCGTATGGTAGATGTTTTTGAATATTCTGTATACTATTGCCTGACTTTGTTTCACATTGTGTTTTATTTTATATGGTAGGATAGTATATAAAATTTGAAGTGATATTTTTAGTTGTTTGATCGTTCTTATAACTGCATCATCATGTTATTCATCAGAATTTCATCATATCTATTGTACTATTAATTATTATTCTTAATGAAAATTAGTTTCAATTATGTTCTGAATTTGTCAACAAATAATTCTGCCCACTTTTGACTATAAAGTAAAAATTTGCTATAATATATGTAGGGATGTAATGCCATTCATTGTTGCTTTTTTACATTATTAACTTTAAATAATTAATAATTTTTAATATTTATCAAGTAAATTAAAACAACAAATGATTCTCTATCTGTTACCCATATTTCTAGTTTAGAAATATCTTTGTAAAAAGTGGACAGAAAATTAATATTAAGTCTAACATCGATGATAGCTACTAACATTTATGTGTAATTTACAGAAAATATGAAAGCCAAGAAACCAATCGATTTGCCGATTCCAAAAGGTCTGGACGAGGATCTTGACGACGACGAAGATGACGAAGATGACGATGACGTCGACGCAGATGATGAAGATGACTCTGATGCTGATGGGGATGTGCTCAGCGACCAACCTGACGATGACGAGAGCGACGAAGATTATCTCGATGATTACGACACTACGACAAGGTAAATCTGCATTAATGATTTCAATGTTTAGATTGTACGATTACGATTGAGTTGACAATGAAATGAATAAAATAAACAGGTGATAAATAAAATCACAGGTTGAGATAAAATATAGACTGTGCTTGGCTTGCTGTATTTTATGTTTCATAAATATTTTAATGTTTTATATTTCATAAAATACAATTCTATATGTTTTTGTATTTTATGTAATAATATTTGGGACTTTTAATATTTTGTAACATAATATTTACTATTTTTTATATTTTGTGAGATAACATGCTTGAATGTTTCCTAAAATACCATTTAATCCTTTCATATTTAGTGAAATAATATTTAATTTCTTCAATATTTTATAAAGTAATACTTAATGTTCTTTTGTATTTTATAAAATAATATTTAATACCCTTAATTCTTCATAAAGTAACTTTTAATATCTCATATTTCATAAAATAATATTCACTGTCTTTTTTATTTTGGAAATTATATTTTGGAAATAATTAGAACAAAAAACCAAGTACTACTATTTAGACTGAGAAATTGATTTATATACTTCTTGTAAAATCATACAAAGTACGATTATTAAAGTTTTGATAAGAAAAGTTAAAGTATCACAATAATTACTTACAAATAATTAAAATTATTTGAACAGTGAACATTTCTTTCATTACATTTGGTTATCTTAATGAGTACACGCAAGTTTAAATAAATAATTTATACGTCTATGGATGCTAAGTAGATTTTACCAAATTGCAATATTCCGAGCGAGAATAATTGAATTAAATTATTAACCCTTTGTGATCCAAATTATATTCAATATTTGCGCCCTATTTGGACAATAATTTCGGTGAATAATTTAGTTACATTTTCATATTTTCGCAAGTACTGATGCATCTATTAAATCTGCGTTAATATCACCGTAATCCGTCAATTTCAGATTTTAGCCGTAATAAATAATTCCATTGCTTAATTATTATTAATGTTCTCGATTGAAATGTACTATAATTCACGATATATATTACAATTAATTCTATCCAAGACTCATCTGTGGTCGATAAAGATCAGCACTGTTCTTACTTTCACTTTACATTAAGCGAAGTGTCTCATAAAATCTGTTTTACGGTTCAAACATTGTTCTTCTACAATTAAATAAAAATTGAATATAAGCAAACATGTCTTACATCAGAAATAACAACAAGAAATTAAATAAAACAAGAAAAGATTAACACTGACCTTTAAAAACTCCAAAAATACAACCGCAATCTCTATAACAATGTTGTTATATTCCAATATATAAAATGACTAAAAATTAAGAAATAGTATTTTAAATAGAACACAAAATATTTCACCCTTCAAAAATTCTGTGTAGATTTACCGAAGATATTGACTTCATATTTTAATATTATATTTAATATTTCAATAAAGAAAGAAATAGGAAAGAATAATTTCCAATGTTAACTGTTCAACGAACATGGCTGAACGAAATAATATTTCAGTGCCTATCAGAGACATCTACAGAGTGGAAAAATTATAGTACTGTCAGAAGTGACCGCTAAGACTCTAGCTTAGGACCCTTAAGACTGCATATCGACAATTGGCAGGAAATATAAACAAAACGGTCACGTGATCGATGCTGCGGACGCAGCTAAATGGCTGCTAAACGTGGATGCTCAAGATCGACCTTTAGTGATTCTAAGCAGGGGCTCCTGTGTACAAGGGCAGTCAAAATTTTCCTCAAAATATTCGATCTCACACCTGGATCAGCTGTATATGTTTCCTGTCAATTCTCGTTGAACAAAATATAATGTAAAGGACTTTCTAGTAAAGACTCTACGAAAGCCTAATGTCAAGTAGTGACATTATTTACTAATATAAAATATGTGTTACAGTTTGTCTAGTCGATTGTCAACGACGGTTTCAACTACGGAGAAACCGAAACAAGATGTGACCGCGATGCCGTTGCCAGTCAGCAGTAGTACACAGCAATCCCCGCAGTCGCAGAACACACCGGATCCGTATCTGACTCACTTCGATCCTCGTTCAGAGCACCAGAGCTACAAGCAAGCACAAATGAGGCTCGAAGAAGTGCACAAGGAGAAAGTAACAAAAGTAAGCGGGTGTTAACACCTCTTTCTATTTCTACGCGCGAGATAATGTTATTTATTTAAGTTTTGCCCCTCCTCGTTTTACTTTCGTATTGTTTACATCGCGTAACTCATGGGAAAAGAATGGGAAAGCAGTCGAATTTCGAGAGACAGCTATTATCTCGCGGGACACTAGTGTCGAAATCTTTGTGCTACAACGTTTTCAGGTGATGAAGGACTGGAGTGATCTCGAGGAGAAATATCAGGACATTCGTGCCCACGACCCAGTCGCTGCCGATGCTTTCAAACGATGGATGACCGCGCGATTCCAGGAAACTGTCGCTGCTCTGGAAGAGAGCGGTGCTGCGGAAAAACATCAATTGAGCGCTATGCATCAACAAAGAGTACAAGTACGTGATTTGGTAGAGTAATGGATAGTGACAAGGATCTAGGTTTAGAAAGGAAACGTTCGTCGATAAACACTGAGTACCTGAAGAACAACCCCCTGAATGTGAATCTTGAGAATAATTGAATTCTTGGTATTTTAGAATGTTGTGCTTTTTTTGGTAGATTGTAATATGTTAATTTACTAGGTTTTGGAACACCTAGATAATGCGATATATTTATTTTTTATTTATTACTTATTGTTATTTCATTGTTCCGTTTAAAAAATTAAGCTTCTAATTGTAGAGAGTATAAATAAGTGACTTTAATTCATATAAGGGGGCCTTCATAAGCAAAACATTCGATTTTTAATTTAAATCTAGTGGATCGACCAATTTTTTCTTAAAATAAATGCCATTTATTATTTAAGTATGTACATCATATAGACAGAAAAGTGTATTTGACGATATTACCTTATCAATTTACAGGAAGCTGTTAAGCAAAAGAACGAAGAAGCGATGTCGTGTTATACAGCTGCTCTGAACGAGACACCACCAAATGTAAATTTCTTAAATATTCTATATCAAATAGTACATTCGTAAATTCACAAATAATTTGCCACATTTTTATTTTTTACTTAGATGCATCGCATTCAGAAATGTCTCCAGAAATTACTTCGAGCTCTTCATAAAGATAGGCATCATACCATTGCTCATTATAAACATTTACTGGATAGCAGCTTGGAACAAGCTCAACGTGAAAAGCCAGCAACATTGGAACACTTGGCGGAAATCGATAGAATCACCAATCAGAGTCTGTTAATGTTAGAACGGTAATGTGTCGATCGATATAGCGTAACGTCAACGTCTCAGAATATCAGATTCCAGATTTTGACATTGCAGAAAAACAAATATATTTTAACTTAATAAAGCATTATATAGAGAATTTCGTTCGTTATATTTAGGTACCCTGATTTAAGCGCAAAAATTGGCCGCCTTATGGATGATTACGTTTTGGCCCTCAGGAGCAAGGATGAGACTCCTGGACTGTTGCTAGCGATGACGCGAGAAGCGGAAGCAGCCATTTTAGATAAATATCAAGCTGACGTTACCAGCAAGCAACAAGGTAATTTCTAAATTTAACAACTTTTTAACAAATGCAACAAAATTCAATAAAAACCATATCTATTGCAATTCATCGGTCTATAGAGAAGGAACATCAAAAACAATTGGAACGAGTACGCAAGGAGCAACGCAAGGCTGAACGTGGCGAATTACGAACGGAACAGGCACAACAGGAAGAAAACGACTCGATAAATGACAACAAAGATGTTCAACAACAACCAGAACAACAGTCTGCGGTAGCAGCTATGCATAGTGAAGGTCTTATTAGGGCAGCTCACAGCATGACACATGACATTTCCCACTCTGAACCAGTAAGTACAGTCATATAAAATTACTTGAAAAATTATACCCAAAAAATATCGCAATATGAAAAATGTCTCTATTTGTTTCGCTGTATATACAGGGTTACACTGTGAGAAGGGAAATTTATCACAGGGAAAGTCGATCCGTCTACTTCACACTTGCGTTTGCTGGAATTGCACTTATGGCTGCAGCAGTGGTAGGTGTAGCAGTATTCAAAAGACGCAGTGCAAGAAGCCCTCACAGTCAGGTATGTTCAAAAGATTATTTTTATTAGAGCGAAAATGGTTCGTAATTGTTTGTAATTGTTTTATCAAATGTTTATATTTGTTTCTATTATTTATTATTATTATAACATATTTTTAATATTTTTTCAAATTAATCGCAATTAGATTTAACTAAATTTTATTATATAATTAACTATGTAACTAAATTTTAATTATTATCGATTATTTCTAATATTAAACAGGGATTCATTGAAGTTGATCAGGCGGCTACACCAGAAGAGCGGCATGTTGCAAACATGCAGATCAATGGATATGAAAATCCTACATATAAATACTTTGAGATCAAAGAATAATCTAATCACCTCGGTCTACAGGAGATTTTATTTGAAACTGGTCTTTAATTGTCCGTTCTCGCGTATGTTCTTCAAGAATTTCATAGTATTTTGTTAGTGTAAGATATCTTTCAGGTTCGAGGTTCTTCCGAAGATTCCGAAAGTATACAAATCTATATCTTAGTGATATATGGAATAAAATCTGTCCATAGAGAAATAGGTATTGCGATACAATATCATTGTGACACGTCTCTTTATTATAGCTCATGACGTTATACGACCACATTTAACAATCTATGATATGTATAAAGCAATGTTCATATAACATCTAGTAGATAGAAGTGTTACGGGTTGATCCATATACTCGTACCGTCAAGATTATCTACGAGACAATTCGAAAGGGAAACAACATGCCAATGTGCCATATGGGAAGCGCGTAATGTTGTCTTCGGAAGTATCTCATACACGTTGTTTTCGTTTCGTTGTCATACATGTTACTAAAAAAAAAAAATAAACAAACAAAGAAACACAGGAAGGAGCGCTCATAATGAAGAAAAAGAATCATTACTCACATTAATGTTATACGCGATACCCTTCGATTAGAAGGCTGTGGACTATGATCAGTTACAAACTCATTGTTTTCAGCAATAGGAAATGCGTATGCGATGGAAGAAATGTATCTCGTCGATGACGCATTCACAGTATGCGTGCTGTTGCGCTCTTTGCTGTATATTTCTCAGTTCTGATATTTTTGGAGATAGTAAATGGCAATAAAGGTAAACGCAGCTTAAATAATATGTGAAAATAAGAAAAATGGTAGCAGCGGTAGCAGCTTGCACAGTGGCAGCATAAAAGTATAATCCGACTTAAACGAAAAAAAAAAAAAATGATAAGCATATTAATAGCACTATACAAAAGTGTATGCTCTACGACACTCTTAAAATATCAGAACGGCGGTCAATGCACGTTCACCTTCGTGATGCAGCTGTTTTTTCATCTCCGTTCGATTCCCACTGCCTGATTTTTTCAGCGACCTTTTCAGTACTTAACGTCTACTTAGATTATACAACTTTATACTTATAAGAAATTGAATCATGAACGTATCTAAAGTTTACGAGAAGCAAGATATTTTATCATTCCATAACAAAAGTCCACTATCTTATCGAGGTACTGTCTGAACGTATGCACGGAAAATATTCGGTAGCTTTGTTCGATTCGGCCGAGGTATCGTTGTGTTTTCTAATGAAAATGGACGAATCGAAAGAATCACGTCGAGGTTGCCGAATAAGAGGAACAGATTAATACAGGAGTTTTTTGAGTGGCATTAGTACCTCCGATTTAGATCGAATAAGTGGCGACTGTTAAAAACAAGCGTGTTTCTGTCCTTTTTTTATTTCATCGTTTTTTTTCTCTCGAAAGATGGTTCATACAATAACTATCTTAGGATATTAATTATATATGATGACGATAATATATTACACGTTTAATGCTTATATATTTGTATATGGTCAAAAGGTAGTAGGCTGCGCTTTAGCCAGGGTCGCGTGGGAAAGCATAGCTTTCATTCATTTTAATGAATAATTGCACGTTTTCTTTAATTTAGATTATATTTTTTTGTATCAGTTAATTAGTTATATTAATATATAAATATATATATATATATATCGATTTGTTAAGTATTATGTACAATTACAACAAAAG